AAAAGAAAAAACCCCCCCCCCCCACCCAAAAAAAAAAAAAAAAAAGAAAAGAAAGAAAAGAAAGAAAGTACTTTGCAAAAAGTCTAGCATTTAAGTATTTGGGAATGTCAGATAGCTTGACCTCTTGCTGACTCTCAGTCTGAAATTCTTACAGCTTACCAGAAGGTCAAAAGAAAGAAAACAGTCGACCTTCTTTCATTTCCGTGGGGTCTTCAGAAAGTTGATGGAAATTTTGTACTATGGAAAAATGCATGGCTTTCAAAATGTTTCTGTACCAATATAAACTCATACTTTAATTTCAATTTTTCATGAATTTTTTTACTTTTTCTTTGGAGAGGTTTTTGCTGTAGGGTGCGTGCACTCACCAGACAAACAAAGACAGACAGAAAGCGAGAAATCACCCCCCAGGGGGATGGCTACACCACAATCCCTTCTCCTCCATTCTCCTCTCGGCATCTTGGGCACGCACAAACACGCCGCCCCCGCCGTGAGTTTTAAGCCACCGTGTCTGGGACACGAACCACGGTTGACTACTTGGGAGTCCAGCGACATAGCCATTACGCTAACTGCTGGTCCCATTTTTCATGAATTTTTGAAGTCTTGCTGTGAGTAGATTCATGTAATCCATATTAAATGTATGTTAAACTTCAAATTTTCTTCACATTTTTCCACCTCGATTTTCTTTGGTTTTTCTTTTGGCATTTTATGATAGTTTTGTTTCTCAGTACAACTTTGTTTCTGTTGTCTGTTTTCTGTAGGGTACGTGTGCTTGCCAGAGAGAGGTGGGGAGGGGGTATAAGACATCACCCCCTGGGGGTATAACCGCACCTCAATCTCTTCTCGTTTTTTTGGGGGGGATTTTGGGCACGCGCACACACACACCCTGTGAGTTTTTCAAGCCGCCAGGTCTGGGACTCGAACTGCACAGTCAGTCATGTGGCATCCAGCTGCCTTAACTAGCTGCCTTAACTACCATGGCACCTGGCCAGCCCACAATGCATTTTTTAAAATGTCCAGAGGGCAAGTGTGCTTGCCAAAGAGAGACAATAAGACAGACAGACAGGGAGGGAGAGAAAGCACCCCAGTGGGGCAGAGTCACCTCGCGGCCCTCCTCCATTTTGACATCCTGCCAGGGCTCTGAGCATGTGCTGGTGCCCGATGTCTTTCTCCAGCCACACTTGACCGCTGGGCTCTCACTCTTAACACTGGACTCTGGGGCTGGCCTACATTGTTTGTTGTGTATAGACTGGCATTATTTGCAAAGCATTTTTACAGATATTATCCCTTGAGCCTTACAGTGACCCCTGTGAGTTACTGTAAATGCATTATCTCTATATTTAAAACGAGTACAACTCTACCCACTGAAATTGTAGTATTTGTTCAGCAGTTTAAGATGGAGACTAAATTACTGTAACAAAGTACTTGAATTATCATCAGCATATTAAAACAAACTGTCGAGGGGGCCGGCAGGTAGTGTGGTGCTTAGTGGTGCTAGACTCTCACATGGGTCACTGTGGTTCGAGTCCCAGACCTAGAGGCTTGTTTTTTTTTACTTTCTCTCTCTATGTCCCTCTCTGGTCAAATTAAAATAAATAAATAAAGGACCAGCAGTTAGCGTAATGGTTATGTTGCTAGACTCCCATATAGCTGACCGTGCTTTGAGTCCCGGATCTGGTGGCTTAAACTCATTCCGGGGGCATGTGCAGGCGTTCCCAAGATCCCGAGAGGAGAATGGAGGAGAAGGGATTGCAGGATGGCCATCCCCCCTGGGGGGGATATAGCAAAAACCTCTCCAAAAAACAAACAACAAACAAACAGATAAATAAAGTAATTCTTTAAAAAAATAAACTGTTGAGTGGAATAGGTTGGCAGATGACTCCTGGGAATTCCTGAGCAGAAGCCTTCCTGTGTGTTGCTCCACTTTCTTCTGAGGTCCTTCTCTCCTGCAGAGCTGTAGGCCCATCTGTGTCCGAGTGAGTGGGGAAGGAAGGTGCGCACGGGGGAGCCCATGGCCAACACCCGGCCCCGACCTGGAAGCTTACGTAGCCCTCTGTTCAGATTCCACTGACGAAAGCAAAGTCGCGTAGTACATTGTCTGCAAGGCAGGCTCAGAAATGTGAGTCTAAGTAAGTCGTTACTCCGAGCTTCTGCAGAGAGTGTAGCTTAACGCCAGACGGGGTGAATTTCTTGGTTAGCTCTTCTGGATGCTCCTCTTTCTGCCAAGCATGTCCTGTTTTCTGGAAGAAATGCCTGTCCCTGTGCCGTGTGGCTCCTGGCTCGGCCTTCTGGGAGGCTCTTCCTTGCCCACTGCCCTCCAGGGCCGCAGGTCAGCTGGACGTTGGAGAATACGTGCCTTGTGGAGACAGGCTAATGGCTAGGCAGTCCTGAGTTTCAGCCGGGTGGGCTTTGCGGTCTGGGGGGTACCGTTCTGTCGGAAGCTTGGTAGGTTTCTGGCCTGCTTGCTGCCACCTACCTCCACACAACAGGAACCAGCTCCAGAGTTGGTTTTTGGACATGTGGTTCCTAACCCTCCATTATTATTATTTTTTTTTTTTTGAGAGGTTTTTTTTTTTTTGGGGGTTTTTTTTTTTTTTTTTTTTTTTTGTTTGCTGTGGGGCGTGTGCGCTCACCAGAAAGAAAGATAGAGATAGACAAAGAGACAGAAAGCGAGAAATCACCCCCCAGGGAGGATGGCCACGCCGCAATCCCTTCTCCTCCATTCTCCTCTCGGGATCTTGGGCACTCATGCACACGCGCCTGTTGTGAGTTTAAGCCCCCTGGTCTGGGACTTGAACTGCAGTTGGCTACATGGGAGTCCAGTGACATAGCCATTACGCTAACTGCTGGTCCCTCCTCCCTTATTTCTTGACTTATTTCTAGACACATAATTTTCTACCTCATTTTAATGGCTAGTACTTCAAACTCATCGGAAGTAGTGGTCTTGCATGGAAATATAACATCCTTGAGGTGGCCTTCATTCCAGTACTTGAGCTTTCTCTTTTTAATGAGTAGAAGGTGTTTGAGGGGGCTGGCAAGTGGAGTGGCGGTTAAGGCACTGGACTCCCAAATGGCCCTCTGTGGTTAGAGTCCTGGACTTGGTAGCTTGCTTTCTCACTTTTCCTTTCTCCCTCTCTCTGGGCAAATTCATATTAATAATAATGATAACAATAAATCATTCTTTTAAAAAAGAATTAGAAAAAACAGGTGTTTGAGAAAAGTGGTGCGCTACAATGTCTTATTAGGTTATTGGGTAAGTCATGAATATCTTCCCATTTTTCTGTGGACAAATGGGTCATGGCTTTCTAGACAAGCGACGTAGCCTAGGTTGGTATAGAGAGAGTTGACTTTTCCATGCCTCGGGGCCCCAGAGGCCTGGTGCATTGTATTCTTGCTCATCTCTGTTCACACACTGACCAGCTCTTGCTTAGAGTATCTCTTTCCCACGATGTCTTGCTAAAAATATCAATAGTAGGCAGCTGCTAATATGCACTAACAGCGGCTCTTTCCTTTTGCCTAGAAAAGCTCCGTAATCACATGGGGTAGTTAATTACCCAGATGACAGCTTAATCAAGTGTTTTAATCACCAGATTTCTGGGCTGAAATATGTTTCTCCCTGCCTACTGGCCGACCGTTAAACCAATACAGTAGTTTTTAGGTGTTTGTTACGACAGCACTCCACTCCTGATAGCATTTTTTACGGCTCAGATTAGGTCGTGGTAACATAAAATAACATTGGCATTCTTTCATTCTTTTCTTTTTTAAGGTTTTTACCATAGGGATCAGCAGATGGCATAATGGTCACAAAGCTGGACTCCCATGTAGTAGACTGTGATTCACGTCCCAGACCTGGTAGCGCGTGTGTATGCGTGCCCCAAATCCCGAGGAGAATGGAGAAGGCATGGGTCAGTGGTATCAAAGTCCAAGTGGTATCAAGCCACCGGGTCCAGGACTGGAACAGAGGTTGACCATGTGGGAGTCCAGTGCCTTAACCACCATACCACCTGCTGACCCCATCATTTAAAAGGAGTAGAATTTTTTTCCCATCCGTCTTCGTGCTCACGTTGGCAGGTGCCTCTTCTCCGTAAGTCATTCAGTGACCCGGCTTTCTTCTGTTCTGCGGGTCTACCATCTTCTCAGGTGGTGTCCTCAGCTTCAGGGCTGGAGCTGGTAGCAGGCTCCTGCTTGCAGGGAGGGAAACGATTATGGAGGAATGCCTTCTTTGAATGCCTCGAGTCAGAAGGGGCACGCAGGACCCCATCAGGTTCCACTATGAAGATGTTAGTCACATGGCCGCACGTAGCTGCAGGGAAGTTGGGGAATGCGGTCTCTGAGTGAACTACCATGGGCCTGGTGCAGTCCTGTTACCACAGGGAAAAGAGGGACCAGCTAATTTTATGTGCTCAGAATATTATAACTCTGAAATTTATTCATTTACTTATTAAAATTTTATTTATTTGTTTGTTTGTTGTGGTTTTCAAGCATCCAGGCCCAAGACTCATACTACAGTTGACCATTTGGGAATCCAGTGTCTTAACTACCACGCCACCTGCTGGTTCAACTCTGGATTTTATTACACTTTTTTTTTTATTCTCATAATTGAACAAGCTGAATGGTCATTAATTACAAAATCCCTGAATCAATGTTTTCAAGTTCAGTGTATCTTTTTTTGATTAAAGCTGATTATTATGCATTTTATACAAAAGAGTTTCTGGATTGCAGACATGAGAAATGGAAATTCACTTGATTTCTCTATGTGTATTTGGTTTATTTCTGTTGAATTTCACCAGTTAAAAAAAAGAATGCTGACTTTGTTAGTTTTCTCTTTGTGTGTTAATAATCTGTATAACTCACAAGGCTGTAACAAAAAGTCCATCCTGGTTTTTTTTGTAAAAGAGCTTTTTATTATAGGACATGTGCACTTGCCAGAGAGATAAAAAGCAAGAAATCACCCCCTGGGGTGGGGGTGGGCGATGGCCATGCTGCAGTCCCTTCTTCTCCATTGTCCTCTTGGGATTTTGGGCACATACGCATGCATGTGCTTTTTTAAGCCGCTGAGTTTAGAACTCAAATTGCAGTTGACTGCATGGGAGTGCAGCAACATCACCATTGCACCGTCTGCTGAGCCTAACACGGTCCTGTTTTACGAATGTAATAATTTTTCCCTCATTTAAATATGAATCCCAGTGTTGGTCAAAGAAGCAGCATGATATGATTTTATAATTTTGAGCAGACTGGCCCCACTGCGTCATTAAGTGCAGGCACCACAACCTCTGTTCTTAAGAGCTGTTTTACTAAAAATGGAAATGATTATTTTGAAGAACTGAGCTAATATTTCAAGGGTCAAGGTGTCATGTTTGAAAATATACCATAAAGGACCAGCAGGTGGCATGGCCGACTACATGGTTCAAGTCTGGACAAGCCAGCTTGAAAATCATGCCAGGTGCATGTATGTACCCAAAATCCCAAGAGGAGAATGGAAGAGAAGGGATCGTGAAATGGCCATCCCTCCAGGGGCTGATTTCTTACTTTCCTTCTCTGTCTCTCTCTGACTTTTTCTGGTGAGAGCATGTGCTCTATAGCAAAAGTTTTTTATATATATATATACATATACATATATATATATGTATATATATACACACACATACATATACACACATAAACACACATGCATATGTATGTGTATATAGATACATATATGTACATATATGTATACATGCATACACATAGAAAACAGAAAATTTGTTTGAGCTTTATTATCCATGTTTATCATTAGAATAGTAATATTTTATCTTCTACTATTTCTTGATCATAATATATTAGAAAACATCCATAAAATAATCTCATTTAATCTACTTTTGTATAGAAAATTGATGCTGTAATGCTAAACTAAGAGTAAAGCATGTGAAACTTGGTGGCTAGAAACTGGAGAACCTTGTATGTGTCTAGAGGGCACCATGTGTCTTAACAGCGATGTTCACTGTTGGTCATTTCTCTGTTCTTCAAAGCAATGGCGGACTGTCCTTCTAGCATACAGCTGCTCTGTGACCATGGGGCCTCTGTGAATGCCAAGGATGTAGTAAGTCAGTTCCTGGTTCTTCTCACCTCAACTCGTGTGTTCTAACTTTGCTGTTTTGGGAGATCCGCTGCCTTTAACACTGTTTTATTTTTCCTGTTGTTTAGGATGGGCGGACACCTCTTGTTTTGGCAACTCAGATGTGTAGGCCAACAATATGTCAACTGCTGGTAGATAGAGGAGCGGATATTAACTCCAGAGACAAACAAAACAGGTAATCCCTGGGCCTTGGCTCTCCAGGGAGCAGCTGTGCACAGTGATTGTGCAAGGCCACTGCTGTGACCCGGTCTTCCCGGCCCCTGATTCCCTCCTTCCTTGGCCGGCTTTCCTTGGGATTAGCACCCACCTCTCACTTTTCTTCAGAGTTGCTGAAGAAGGAAGGAGAGAGAAATTGGGGAATGGACCAGGGGAAATGCTGAAGCAATGAGGAAAACAGGAATTATATCCTAGTTACCTTAAGCTTTAAAAACGTCTTTAATGAAATGGATGCAAATACAATATCGAGGAGAAGAATAAAAATTACACGTGAGGTCCACTCGTCAGTGATCTTTCGAGAGTAAAGTGGTTCCTGGGTATCCGGGGCTGGACATGTTTCAGTATAGATTTTCTCAGGGTGTTTTTTCCTCGTTACTCTTTCTCCTCCTTATTCTGCCAGGGTATAAAACTATCCCCTTCTCTGGAACTGAGGCCATTTCTGGACCCCAAGAGTCCCTTCTCGTAGTTTCACTTCTGTAGTTGATTTATTTCGATTGATATGCTTCAACAATTTCTACTCGTGATTCTCCCTTTCCCTTTCTCTGGGTCCAATTTATCAGGGCTGTTGATGGAATTAAGCAACTCTAGAAATAATAATTACTGCACTTTATTTCTAAGCGCAAACATGAGTGACAGCCTGGAGAAGGGCAAGCACTTTTCTTGGATTGCTGAGATACGGTGGTCCCTTTTATGGAGCTTTGAGTACAGGACAGTTGTCAGTCAGCATAAGGAGTCCTTTACATTGGCCTTGTCCAGAAAGGTAGGAGGCCGTCTGGAAGTGGAGGCTTGTAGGTCGTAGGTGAGTTTGAAATTCTTAGGTTAGTAATTGATCAAAGAAAAATCACAACTCTCCATTCCTGAAAGAAATCAGCAAAAGAGTATCTATGCTTTACTCTAAGAGACATGAAAGCTTACTGTGCAGCATAAACCAGTATGTCTGGGGCAGCATGCAGCACCCACTACCCATGGTCTGGTGATGTTTGTAGGCCTGACATTCCCAGGCCCCCTGGGAAACAACTTCGGAATAGAAGAATGTCAGAAGTTTGTCCTCGGGGTGCCTGTGATAGTTCTGACGTTTATGGGGCACACGTTTCCGAAATTCCTCCGTACTACAATAATTCAGTCACTAGCATTTCTGGGATTTGATAGCTAATTACTAGTAAAATGACTGGTTTCTTTGGATTTAATTCGCTCTTTTAAATATGTATACTCTTTTGTTTGTAGTTTGTTAGAAGCATTAAATAAAAAAGTCTTCAGATGTCAGGTTTATGGCTGTAATTGTTCTCATTGTTCAGACGTCTCAAAAGGAGGAAATTCTTAAGCAATTAAATCATTAATGTAATCATCAAGAACGTGGCCTTTTGTCTTTGTTTCTGCAAATACTATAGTCTGATTCTTAGCATGCCCAAGAAAATTGTATTTTAAAATTAAATTTTGGGGTCAGAGAAGAATGATCTGACCGATCCAGGTAAAATGTTTATGCCTTTGTAGAGCTTATATTTTTCCGAAGCCCTTTTGTCTATGTTCTTTCGTTATAAGTTCACCAAAGAAGAGAAACCAGTGAGGTAGGGAAATATACATATCATATAGACTAGGTAGCAGGTGGTTTTAAAAAATAGAACTTAAATTTCCCACACTCTGCATTGTATGGAATTTTATGCCACCAGCTGTGGAGCAGTGCCGGGGTGAGGAGGGAGAAGCAGAGCAGACCTACCAGAGTAGAGACAAGTTCGCTTCCTTGTGAAACCCAGTGTCCACAGTTGGAGACAGTTAGACCCAGGATGATTCACTTCATATCATCACATGTTGGTTCCCTTGGTAGGAAAATCAGAAATTGGATAAAATAATGTCCAGGCTCTTCTCAATTTCCCTGACGACTTAGCTGTTCTATGGCATGATTACCCTTGGCCGATACACTGTGTGTTTGAGTGCTGGTGGCCCCATCGCGGCAGAACACGGCTGCGGTCTCTGTCAGCCCGGGACGAGTGGAGGGAGTTTATTGGAGGAGACACGTTTCAGCTGAGTGTGAGGACAGGGAGTCTCAGAAGAAGGCGGCTCTTCTAAGAGTGGTGGCGAGAACGGAATCTGAGTCTCCCCTGGGAAGAGGAAGGGTTTGCAGGGGAGACTTGCTTGGTGTGGGCCACTTAACGAAGGGCATGAAAAACAAATGAGATGGCAAGAGCAGGTGTGGAAGTTTTGTGTTTTTGGCTTTTTTTAGTTGCCAGAGAGCACGTGTGCTAGCCAGAGAACGGTAAAGAGGGAGAGAGAACCCGCCCCAATAGGCCGTGGTCGTGCTGTAGTCTCTCCTCTTCCACTTCTCCAGCCTGGCAGAATTTTGGGCATGTGTCCAGGGTGTTTTTCATGCTGCCAGGACTGGAATTTGAACCCTGGTTGATTACATGGTATGTGGGCTCCCTAACCACTAGACTAGGGAGCCGGCCGAATTGTAGAAGTTCGTTCAATAACCTTGAAGTACTGCGAAGAACTGGAATGCATAGAGTTAGTTTGGTCATAGGTGCTATTAAAGAGATGGGGCGATGTAAGGTTTTAGCTCCACAGACTAAGACACAAAGCAGATGTTTACATAAATGCAAAGCAGTTAAAATACAAGGTAATGTGAAGTAAAATCTGTAACTAGTAGACCTTATTAAAGAAGTGTCTGGTTTTTTTTCTTTTTTAAAAAAGATTTTTGCTATAGGCTGTGTGCAGTTGCCTAAGAGACAGAGACAGAGAGAGAGAGAGAGAAAGACAGAAAGCAAAAAATCACCCCCCCAGAGGAAATGGCCATGCCACAATCCCTTCTCAATTTTCCTCTTGGGACCTTGGGCACACACACACACACACGCCTGGAGTAAATTTTAAACTACCGGGTCCAGGACTCAAACCATAGTCGACCATGTGGGTGTCCAGTGACATAACCATTATGCCATCTGCTGGTACCAAGTGTCTCTTTTTAAGAAGAGGGTCTCTTCAGATCAGCAGTTAGCGTAGTGGCTATGTCGCTGAACTCCCATGTAGTCGACCATGGTTTGAGTCCTGGACCTGGTGGCTTTAACTCACGCCGGGCGCATGTGCGTACGTGCCCAAGATCCCGAGAGGAGAGAGAATGGAGAAGGGATTGTGGTGTGGCCATCCCCCCTGAGGGGTGATTTCTTGCTTTCTGTCTATCTGTCTCTTGCTGGTGAGCACACGTGCCCTACAGCAAAAAACTCTCAAAAAAAAAAAAAAAACTAAAAACAAACAAACAAACAAACAAAAAAAAAACAACCCAGGAGGGCCTCTGGCAGCCATGTCCGAAGTGTTCCCGGGTATTTTTCAGTCGCTGTCCGCTTCCCTCGTAGAACGGCTCTCATGCTCGGCTGTGAGTATGGCTGCAGAGATGCAGTTGAAGTCCTCATTAGGAACGGTGCTGATGTGAGCTTGCTGGACGCCCTCGGCCATGATAGCTCTTACTACGCAAGAATTGGCGACAACCTGGACATTCTCACCTTACTGAGGACCGCCTCAGAAAATACCAACAAAGGTACCAGCAGTCTTTAAAAAGTCAGGTGAAGGGACCCGCAGGTGGCATGGTGGTTAAAAGGACGGACTCCCACGTGGCCAACTGCAGTTCTGTTCCCAGACCTGGCAACTTGAAAATCCTACTGGGTGTACAGGTGTGTGTGTGTGTGCCCAAAATCCCAGGAGGAAAATGGAGAAGAAGGGATTGTGGCATGGCCTCACTCCTGCAGGGTGATTTTTCACCTTCCCTCTCACTGCCCCTCTCTCTGGTGAGTGCACACGCACTATGGCAAAAAATCTGAAATAAAATAAAATGTAAAAGAGTCTGCTTTATAAAGAGCAGCGTTTCGAAGACAATAGTCGAACTCCCGTTGGTGAGAAGCAAACATGCCGTGCGGATAAAGCGTTGCCTCATCTCCCTGCATTCCATGGGCAGGCTTCCTTACCTCAGAGACTGTCGTCCTCAGGCACTGGTGGTTGCATGTATCATCATCCTTATCGAGTGGACACTAAAACTCTGTGGGATAATTTAAGAATTAAAGAAGAGGAGTCAATTCATGCATTTCACTAATATATTGGGTCATCAGAAAAGTTGTGACTCATTTTTCTGTGTTTTTCTATGTAAAAATGCATCATGACTTTTCTCATGACCCAATTTATATGCATATTTTAAAAAATTTGCTGTAGGATGTTTGTGCCCACCAGAGAGAGAGAGAGAGAGGAGGAGGAAGGAAAGAAAGCATACCCCATGGGAGATGGTCATGTTGCAGTCCCTTCTCTAGTCCTCCTTTAGGATCGGGGCACTCATGCACATACTCCTGGCATGTCTTCCAAGCTGCTGGGTCTATTCAGGATTCAAGCCATGCAGCTGACCCTGTGGGATCCTGATGCCTTAACTGCCACACCACTGGCTGGCCCTTACTGATATATTTTTAAATTCATTCATTTATTTGTTATGATAAAGAGCACATTTGTGCATGCGCTAGAGAGAAAAGCAGCCCCCTTGACAGGGTTTCATCACAGTGTGGTCCCCTTTCCCTGCCCTCCAGCTCCTCAGGACCCAGGTGTTACATGTGCACCCAGTCTGTTTCCAGGCCAGCCCGGGGATCCAAACCCATGACTGCTATGTGACTTCTAGCTCTGGGGGGCACTTACTGCTGCACCACAGTGGCTGGGCCTTACAGTTTTATTTGGTGAAAAGGTTGATGCCCCTTTATCTTTTTAGGTTTTTGCCATAGGGCGCATGCTCTCACTAGAGAGGAGACAGAGGGAAAGTGTGAAATCACCCCCCAGGGAGGATAGCCACACTGTAACCCTTCTCCATTCTCCTCTTGGGATTTTGAGCATGCATACACAAGCACTTGGAGTGAGTTTCAAGCCACCAGGTCTGGGACTCAAACCAGGGTCAACATGTGGGAATCCAGCCGCCTTAGCCAACATGTCACCCTGGCCCTGAAACTCCTAAATTTTTTAGTTACAAATTTTTTATTTTTTTGAGAGTTTTTTTTGCTCTAGGGCATGTGCACTCGCCAGAAAGACAGAGACAGACAAAGAGATAGAAAGCGAGAAATCACCCGCCAGGGAGGATGGCCACGCCGCAATCCTTTCTTCTCCATTTTCCTCTTGGGACCTTGGGCACGCCTACACATGCACCCGGCATGAGTTTAAGCCATGGGATCCAGGACTCAAACTGCGGTCGACTGCATGAGAGTCCAACGACATAGCCATTACACTAACTGCTATTCCCAATTTTATAGTTACAAAGTTTTAAAGCATGAACCATTCTTCAAACATGTTTGCTGTTTAATGACAGAAATTATGAAATATTCAATTGCTATGTATTAAATGCCTGTGCCAAGATTTTCCTGTTCCTTATAGAAAAATTGGAAAATACAGAAAGGCACAATGAATAGTCTCTCATCCTACCACCAAGGAGCCTTTATTCACATTTTGAGGAATAGCCTTCCAGTCTTTTCTCTATGCAAAATTGAGGTCACTTATCATACTTAAGTTGTATCTTACTTTTTTTTTTTTTTGCTATAGGGCACGTACGCTCGCCAGACAGACAGAGAGAGACAAAGAGACAGAAAGCGAGAAATCACCCCCCAGGGGGGATGGCCATGCTGCAATCCCTTCTTCTCCATTCTCCTCTCAGGATCTTGGGCATGCACGCACATGCGCCTGGCGTGAGTTTAAGCCACTGGATCCGGTACTCAAACCATGGTCGACTACATGGGAGTCCAGCGACATAGCCATTAAGCTAACTGCTGGTCCCGTACCTTACTTTTTTAATGTAATAAATTGAAGACTTTTCCCTGAGAAATATTTTTTCAATATTATGACACGTAAGATTCCATTTGTTTAAATTTCATTAACCAAGCAATTTGCTATAGATATTGAAGTTATTTACAGTGTTTCACTAATGTAAGTAACAATGTAATGACAATATGTGGATTTTACCATATTTTTATTATTCCCTTAGGATCAATTCCTAGAAATTGATTATATTAGGTTATAGGGCATGTATGTTTCCTTAAGCTTTAGGAATATACTGATAAATTGCTTTCTAATTTAAGAGTGTTTTAAAATCCTACACTTTACTTGCTTAGCATTGAATATTATTTACCTGAACATTATCATATTAAAAAAAAGCACTTTGCTAATTTTGTAAGCAAAAATGATATTTTGCACTTGTCTTAAACACAAGTTTTGGAAATAAAACTAAAAAGGTAGGAAACCTAAGAGGAAACTTTAAAATTTATTTATCTAATGTGGATTCCTTTATATGGTTATAAAATGTATGTCTAGCAAAGTTAACTTGCATTTTCACTTTTTCCTCTTTTTGAAAAATCTTTAGGAAGAGAACTTTGGAAGAAAGGACCACCTTTGCAACAGGTAGGTCTTAGTTTTAGTTTTTAATAATGACATGCACTGTGCAAGTTAAGTTCTTAGGAAAAGTGGTTAACGATTATGCGTGACCCCCGTGAGTTTCAACGCATGCGATCTCCTCAGTCATGCTCCTGGAGAACATAGATGTTCACGTCGTGAGGGCCTGTCAAGATACTGTCTCTCGGCTTGAGTCAGTGGCTCTTCATTCCAGTGACCATGTCCAGTGGGAATAAATCGCCTCCGGACTGGGACCTTGAGCATCCAACTCTACCATGTTTGAGATGTTGAGGTTCTTTTTTTAAAAAGGTTTTTGCCATAGGGCACGTGCATTCTCCAGAGAGATACAGTGAGAGGGAAAGTGAGAAATCACCCCTCAGAGGGGATGGCCACGCGCTCCCTTCTCCTTCATTTGCCTCCTGGGATCTTGGGCATGCACGCACGTATGCCGGCATGGTTTCCAAGCCGCTAGATCCAGGACCCCATTCATGGTCAGCCATATGGGAGTCTCGCACCTTACCCACCACCTGCTGGCCCTGAGATGTTGAGATTCTTAAATGACACATGTCAAGGTGGCAGTCTCCTGTAATAACAGAACCAAACACTGTTCGGGAAAATCCTTCCAGTGCAGTAAGAAGTGAAGGAGACAATTAAAACTGATGGTAGGTCCGGTTGTGGGAGAACACAGGGAGTACCACTCCTTGGGAGACAGGGAGCCGTGTGGCAGGCCCGGATTTGGTTTCTAGGCCAACCTGAATGCACTAGGCACGGCTACACGTGCTTGTAATCCTCGCTAATCTGGGACTCGGACAGGAGACCGTCAGAAATACTGGTCTCTGTCTTCTCCTTTCCCTCTTCCCCACTCCCACCTTTTTCTCATAAAGGAGAAAATAAAACCAATCACATAGTATTTTATATATATGGTGTGTGCATATATATGTAACTTCGTATGTATGTGTATATATGTAACTTCGATACCACTTTTAACAGTTTTTTCTGTGTGTATTTAACTGAGGACTTTAAAAAGCAAGCACCACATGGGCTATCCAGCCTCGCACTCATGCCCTGATGAGACCACTGTTTAGCTCTGGCTTTGTGTCCTGGTTGGAGTAAATGCTCTGTTCCCCGTCTCCGTGTGAGTGCAAGTGGGTGGGTTTGCAGCCCTCGGCTCCGAGGCGAGCGTAGGCAGCTCTCCCCTCCTGCTGGCTGTTCCCTTCCAGGCTCTGAGCTTTTCTCTGTGAGAGGAGCCTGAGCACGCCCAAGCCCTGAGGAGCGAGTGGTCAGGTGCCTTCTGAGCACTCTGGTCGCCACCTGACTGTAAAAGCCACGTTACCGCTCGCCGTCCTTTTCACCCACCGGGCTGAGTGGCACGTCCATGCGTGGACCACGCCTCCTGGCACTGCGCTCTCCTCGGAGCCGCTGCAGTTTCTGTCCTGTTCCCAGGTTAGGCTGAGTGGGAGCGGCCGAGATGGAGTGTGCTCCGTGTGCTGCACGGCCCTCACGCGGAAGCAGAGGAAGAGGACTTGCGTACAGACTAACCTACAGGGCTGTCGCGAGTTCCTAGGGGACTGCTGCTCTGCTCAGTGCCGCTGTCCAGGTGAAGGCAGGGAGTTACTGTGCTAGGGACAGTGAGACGAGTGCCTTGTTTTAAAAAAAGAATTATTTAGTTTTATTTATAATGATTATTTTCAATTTGCTAGAGGGCACATGCACTCACAGAGAAAAAGGAAGAGAGAGAGAAAGTGAGAAAGCAAGCCCAGGTTTGGGACCCAGACCGTGGTCAGCCATGTGGGAGTCCAGTGCCTTAACCGCCACGCCACCTGCTGGCCCTGAGACTAATGCCTTCTCATTACTTTGTCTGCTTTGTCCATTCTTGTTGAGTAATCGCCATAAATAAGGGTGTTGCACCAAGGGACGTGGGATCCTGTTGTCGCAGTCTGCAGTCACTACAGAGTAAGACGCCCATTGTCTGTTCCACACACACGTGCTGCACGCCCGCGGTACGCCGATTTCTCTTCTGAAGCCGGGGATATTGTGGGGTGCAGGGTCCTTGCCCTCATGGAGCACCCAACTTAGGGAGATGAACAGCAAAAACATGAATATTTAGAACCATAGCAGATGCTATGAAGAAAGACAAACAGCGTCAAAGGATGGAGAGGGAGTGGTAGGAGCTTTGAGAGATCCCCACAGGCCTTCAATGCCAAGACCCGATGGGCGCACGGCTGTCAGGAGGCCACTGTGCCAAGAGCTTGTGCACGTAGCGGAGGGAACAGGAGAGACTGGTGTGGTGAGCAGGTGCCAGGGTCGGGAGGACTCGGTGTGGTGAGGCAGTGTGTGGGTGCTGGTGCAGGTGCCTGTGAGCCCCGCCACCTGGGCCGGAAGGCTCTGGCAGGGCTGAAGCAGCTTCATCCAGAAGGTGGGCCGTTAGGACGGGGGCTGGCGACTTAGTGTGTCTGAGGGAAGGTGGGCGGAAGGGAGTGGAGGCAGGCGGGAGGATCCCGGAGGGAAGGCTAGGGTGAAAGTGGTCTGATTAGGAGAGCGGGAGGGACGTCAGACCCCGTTTGAAGAGCCGCCTTGCAGAAGAAGGAATCAGGCTAAAAACAGTTTTGGCTAAATTATGGGTATCAGTGTCCCCTTCCCCTCCCCCCACCCCCCTGGCACATGCACTCTCCAGAGAGAGACAGAGAGAAACCATGAGAGGGAAAGTGAGAAGTCACCCCCTGGGGGGATGGAGATGGCTTTGCCACAGCCCCTTTTCCTCTTTTCTCCTGGGACTTGGGGTATGCACACACATGCGCCTGGCACTGTCTTAAAGCCTCCAGGTTCAGGACTCGAACCACAGTCAGCCATGTGGGAGTCCATTGCCTTAACCACCATGCCACCTGCTGGCCTCCGGATTATCTTTCTTATGGGACCTGTCTCTCTAATTCTAGATCTGTGTTCATTAGAATGATGGTGTAAAACCCTGTTTAAATTAAATTCAACAAGTACTAGAAAGCATGAGAGAGTTACTCTGAAGAATTAAAGCAATAACTTCTCTCTCTCAGAAGGAAAGTAAGAAATATCTTTCTGAATTAGCTCTGGTACAGGTGTACAAAGCAATTTGGGTTTTAAAAATGTTACTTGTTCTCTTGTTTAATAACTGTGTTGTGGTGCTGGCAAGGCAGCTCTGAAGTGGAGTGGTTCTGAAGCAGTGGGTGTACAGGATCAGACCACACCAGCTGAGCCGTGCAGACTCCTGCAGCTCCAGGCTGGCTGTCCCTCCCACTGCCTCTTCCTGTTCAGCAGCCGCTCACTCCCATAGCGTCTTCCAAAGGGAATGCGACTCCTGTCCCACCACCTTTTTTTAAAACAAATTTTTCCTTTGAGAGTGGTTGGTAATACTTTATATTCGGTCGTCTGAAATATCATGCCGGATTTTTCTATGTTTTTCTATGCAAAAACGCGTCATGACTTTTCCATCGACCCCTAGCGTAACTATCGTTTTGTGTCTAGTACAAATTCTCCTGTTAACATTATGAGACTTTATATAAAATAAATCCTTAACATTTTTAATTCTATGATCTAGTATTTTAAAGATGTGCTTGATTTATTTACAACCTATAGTCTTAGAGCTCCACCTGGACTGTAAGAGGAAACACTGCCACCTTGTGTTCTGGGGGCAGAACTGAACCTTGGAAAATATGTAGTACAGTTCTCTGTAGCCTCATGCTTGCTAACCTGTGTTTTCTTATGTTTTATTTTGCCGAAGCGAAATTTGACACACATGCAAGATGAGGTGAACATGAAATCAAATCAGAGAGAGCCTCAAAATATCCAGGTAAATAGAAAAAAAAATTGGTATCTTCTTTTTTTCTTTCTTTTCTTTTTTCGGGGAGGTTTTTGCTAGAGGGCGCATGCGCTCACCAGAGAGACAGAGAGAGACATAGAGACAGAAAGCGAGAAATCACCCCCCAGGGGGGATGGCCATGCTGCAATCCCTTCTTCTCCATTCTCCTCTCGGGATCTTGGGCACACACGCACATGCGCCCGGCGTGAGTTTAAGCCACCAAGTCGGGGACTGGAACCACGGCTGACTACATGGGAGTCCAGTGACAGCCATTACGCTAACTGCTGGTCCCCAAAATTACTATCTTCTTATAAGAAGAATTTCAGTGGTCTTTGTCATGGGATAGGGGAAGAAGAGACAGAGAACGTGAATGAGTGAAATGCATGGTGGAAAGGAAAGGAAGTTTGTTCTGCTATGTGATTCTATTTTCCGAAGTTAGGTAGTTACGGTTTAGCTGTTGGGCTGGGCTCATAGCCTAGCAGTTAAGGGAGCCGATCCTACTTGGTTAGCCACAGTTCAAATCCCAGCCCGAGTGGCTTGAAAAACACACTAGGTGCATTCTTGTGTGTGCCCAAAATCTCAGTAGGATGGAGAGATGGAGGAGAGGTGACAGCGTGACCACGTGTTGTTGGGGGGTGCTTCCCCCCCGCCACCCCCCGTCTCTGGAGAGTACCCATGCCCTCTGTCAGTTAAAAAAAAAGTGAATTATGTCCTTAGGTAGGAGCCTGTCATATTTTATCAGAGCTCTGAAATGACAATTAGTTTAACAGAAGCTTTACAATAGTCTCATGAACTTGGGAGGTTTTAAGCAAAAATTAAAATGGCATATTCTTGTTAATTTCTGTTTCCAGGTGATGCTTTCATTTTTTTCTTCATTGGAAACATGATGCTTTGCTGTCCTCTGTACTCGTGTTTAATAGGTATCACAGGATGGCAGTTTTTTTTTTTTTCTTTTTTTTTTTTGGAGAGGTTTTCGCTGTAGGGCGTGTGTGCTTGCCAGACAGACAGAGAGAGACAGAGAGACAGAAAGCGAGAAATCACCCCCCGGGGGGATGGCCATGCCACAATCCCTTCTCCGTTCTCCTCTCAGGATCCTGGGCACACACGCACACGTGCCCGGCGTGAGTTTAAGCCACTGGGTCCAGGACTCAAACCGTGGTCGACTATGTGGGAGTCCAGCAACATAGCCATTATGCTAACTGCTGGTCCCGATGGCAGTTTTAATATTGCATCTAACCTGTGGATTTTAGACTGTTTGAGTATCATTAAAATGATTGGTTTTTGTATTTAAAGCTGTTATTTATAACGTATCTCTGCATATGATAGAGAACTGCTTTTAAAGAGCTTCTTCTGTAAGAACTGCTCTTTTCAGATTAGTCTCACACCTGTTCTCTTTATTATTTAAGGATCTGGAGATTGAAAATGAAGATTTGAAAGAGCGATTAAGAAAAATTCAACAAGAACAAAGAATACTGTTGGATAAAGTCAATGGCTTACAATTGCAGTTGAATGAGGTAAATAATCTGCATTCAAGGACAATAGGAAGATGATTTCATTACCAGTACTCACCATCAGAACCAATGACGTGTTTCTGCCCGTGCTGGTGCTGGGTGCTGAAGGAGGAAGAGGCAGGTATTGCTGTTGGGGAGAGTTCTGTGTCACCCCGAGTCAGGCCCCGTCCCCGAAACTCTCCATGTGTAAAGTAGCATAAGCCATCCAGCGCGCGAGGACGGTGCGAGAGGTGTTGGGGAGAGGAGGGGCGTTCTGGAGAGCATTGCCCTGAGCAAAGCCACAGAAGCAGGGGTCAGTAATGTACTCTGTTGTGTACAAAACTAGAAATGAGGGATGAGCAGGTGGTGTGGTGGTTAAGGCGCTGGACTCCAACATGGCTGACTGCAGTTCGAGTCCCGGACCTGGCGCCTTGCTTTCTCGCCATTCTTCTCTCTGTGTCTCTGCTGAGTGCATTTGCCCTGTAGCAAATTAACATGCATACATGATACATAGTTCTTTCTTAAACACTGGAAATGAAGAAAAATCCATCGATTATTATTGTAATCAGTTTACTCTCTAAATAAAATTACACCATGCACATGACTCGTCACAGGTGAAATCGCGTGTGCTGTTTATAGCTCAGAAGTAAGGATATACTGGATTGTTGGAAAAGTCGTGACGTATTTTTTTTGGTTTTCTATGCAAAAATATGTCATGACTTTTCTGATGACCCAAGATAGGGCTGGCCCACTGCGCTCTTTCAGTTCTAATTTTCTCTATCACGTTAATGCTAGTGAGATAAGGATTCTGTTTTCCTGAAACTGAGTATCACCCAAAGCAGATTCATTACCTTACCCTGAAACATTCATATATTCATCCTTTGCCCTTTTAGAAAGTTTATTTGTGTTTTTCTCATGAGAGAGAGAATCAGGCACCCTGGGGCCAGCAGTTGGCGTGATGGCTATGTCGCTGAACTCCCATGTAGCCGACCGCGGTTCGAGTCCCGGACCCGGTGGCTTAAACTCACACTGAGCGCGTGTGCGTGCGTGCCCAAGATCCCGAGAGGAGAATGGAGGAGAAGGGATAGTGCACGGCCATCCCCCCTGGGGGGGTTTTTCGCTTTTTGTCTCTCTCTCTCTCTGTCTCTCTCTCCCTCCCTCCCTCTCCCTGTCTCTTCAGTGAGCACACATGCCCTATAGCAGAAATCTCTTTATAAAAAATAAAAAGAGAGAGAGAGAGAGAGAGAATCAGGCACCCCTAACAGGGTCTTCATACTATGATCGACCCTAGTCTTGGGCACACACACACAAGCACCCGGGTATGTACAGAGAGGCCTCAGGATGTGAATGCCGGACCTGCCCACGTGGCCCCTACCTTATGAGACATTGTGTTATTGCTACGGCACTGTAGCTGGCCTAATCCTTCTCCCCTTTTTAGGGGGAAAAAAAGATTTAATTTTATTCATCATTATCATCATTATTATTTTAATTTGCTACAGGGCACATGCATTCACCAGAGAGAGACAGGGAAAGTGAGAAAGCAAGCCACCAGGTCTGGGACTTGAATCATGGTTGGCCACCACCCCACCTGCTGCCTCCCCCAACCCCATTTTTCTTTTAAGAGTACTGCCGAATGTCTGGTATTTGAGCTGACCTTCAGGTCATCTTAGAACCTTTCTTCTCCTACTCCTTCTTGGTAATTTTCAAGAACTGAAGGAGAATCTCGGGTGATAGTGCACTCTGGAGCCAAACTGGGCCGGTCGACATCTAGACACAGGTGGCTGGGCTGCGTGGTGGGCCACACTGTCAGATTCAAAGGGAGGGTCATAAAAGCGGTTAGGTAGGGAAGGCAGGCTGACGGGAGGGTTTCACTGCCCCGAGGAAAGACCAGTAGTGTTTTCAAAATGCTAATAAAAATGGAGCCTCCAGCCTAGAATTTTGTTCCTAAACCGTCATTCCAGAGAACAAAAATGAAGACAACTTCAGACTTCCCAAGACTTAGCCAAGTTGCCACTCACAGGCCCTCAGAAAAAGAGCTGCCCGAGGAGGTACTTGAGCACGAAGGAGTGTACCACGGAGGGAGGGGTGGGGTGTGAGGACTCTGGCGAGCCCGGGAGTGGACGAGATATAGTGGTGGAAGTAGATGGCCTCTGTGAGAATTCAACACTAGCTTCAGTCTGGGTAAAAGTAGTGGTCGGCAGGCACGGGCGTGGTGGTTGAGGCGCTGGATCCCACGTGGCCAACTCCCAGGTTCGAGTCCAGGCCCGGTGACTTGAAAATCATGCCAGGCCGGGAACCAGCAGTTAGCGTAATGGCTATGTCGCTGGACTCCCACGTAGTCGACCGCGGTTCGCGTCTCGGACCCGGTGGCTTAAATCTCACGCCGGGCGCGTGTGCGTGCGTGCCCAAGATCCCGAGAGGAGAATGGAGGAGAAGGGATTGCGGCGTGACCATCCCCCCTGGGGGGTGATTTCTCGCTTTCTGTCTCTCTGTCTCTGTCTGTCTGGCGAGCGCACGCGCCCTATAGCGAAAAACAAAAAACAAACAAACAAAAAAACCTCTCCAAAAAAAAAATCATGCCAAGCACATGTGCGTGTGTGCCCAAAATCCTGAGAGGAGAGTGCAGGACAAGGGATTGCAGCATGGCCATCCCCCTGGGGGCTGATTTCTCACTTTCCCTCTCTCTCTCTCTCTCTCTCTCTCTCTCTTTCTTTCTGGTGAGCGCATACACCCTATTACAAAAACTTGAAGATGAAAACAAGTAGGGCTTACTCCCAGGCTAAGGTCACAGCCCCCTCATCCTCCCCACACGCATCAGTTTCAGTCACATGCCCAAGGATCAGAAGTCACAATGGCTTTGAGTCCTTTACCGTCACGTTAGACATGAGAAGATGGTGGCAACGCCGTCAGAATTGTGACGGAAATGTTGATGTCTTCCGTATGGAGTCCTGTAGCCAGCCAGCGCCCAGTCAAAGGAGAGGACGGGAAAGATAAGTTCAGACGTGCGAGGTGTATTTGTTACCTACTGAGGTGCGACAAGTTGCCCTTAGAGTTAGCTGCTTAAGAGAGCAGACGTTCATCACTCCCTGTTCTTTCCGAGGTCAGAATGCCGGGGACGGGGCAGCAGCGTGGCTCAGGCTCAGGCTCAGGGTCCCCACGAGGCCGAGTCCAGCTGTCAGGGTGGGTGCGCAGTGAGGGCTGTGGGTGTGCTTCCAAGCTGCCCCCAGCCTCAGCCGCAGGCCTTCCTGCAAGGGCTTCTCCAGAGACTGCTGTGACAGCAGCTTTGGGCAAGACGGACAGTGCGGGTTGTCACATAGTCCTCATACGAGGACGGGTACAGACGCTCACCTCCTATGCTTTACATAATAATTAAAGTACCAAAATAAGATATTATATATGCTCAGGTATGTGAGATACATTCTGCAGTGAGCAGGTTAATACCAGAAAGCAGGCACTATGGATGGGTTTCGGGTATGTATTCACGACCAGGCACTGGACCGTAACCGGGGCCGTGGATTTGGAGAGGGGTAGACAAAAACGGGAAGGAAGGAGCGAGTAGGGTTTGGTTACTGACAGGTGTCCGAGAGAACCCCGAGTTCTTCCAAACCTGACGAGAGAGGAGTGAGACAGCTCGTGCCACAGAGCCGGGGCCCGAGAGTGCTTCCTGCTCACCTCCTGCCCCATCTTAATGGCATGTCCAGTCATCTCAGAAGCTGCGTGCCAAGCCCATGCGCTTTACCCAAACATACGAATTAAAGCACGTTTCTTCTTCTTCACCTCAGGAGGTTATGGTTGCTGATGATCTGGAAAACGAGGTAGGATACTAAATTTCATTTTCAAGCTCTGGAACTGTTTTATAAGTTGAGGATGATATTGTAGCAAAGGTTTCAATCTTGAATTGAGATCAAAACCAAGATTCTATTTCTGGTCATTGCTAAAAGGTAAGACAAATCTACACATGACCGTAAAAGTGTATTTCGAATATAGTGACATGGAGTATTGTAGGCATTTGTTGTTATTGTGTCTGGTTTTCTCACTGTGAAACTTGTTATGAAAAGATTAAAATTTGAGGCCAGCCAGTGGTGTGGTGGCTAGGGTGACTGAATCCCACGTAGCTGGCTGTACGGCTCTAGTCCCAGACCTGGTGGCTTGAAAAACCGCCAGGCCTATGTGTGTGCATGCCCAAATCTTGAAAGGAGAATAGAGGACAAGGGATTGTGGTGTGGCCATCCCCCTAGGGGGTGCTTTCTCACTTCCCCTCCTTCTCTGCCTCTCTCTTCTGGCACACACTCCCTATAGCAAACTCTGATCCTGAAGACTGTGTGAGAAGAAGATGGAAGACCGGGGAGAATTTGAGGAAAGAAATTTATGGGACACAATGTGGATTATTATCTGTTGACGATAACGCGTATTGTATCCTCCACTGGACGGATGTGATGTGTGGTCATGTTGAGTAAATTCACTTTACAAGCTAAGTGTATAGAGGGATTGAATGCATAAAATACATTTATAAAAGAGAAAATGAAAAGATTAACATTCTAAACATTATACAGGAAATGTTTGAAAATACTAAGATTTAAAACAAACAACAGCAATTTGAATTTTTCATAATGTTGCTTGTATGTGTTGTATATTTTTAGAAATTATTAATTTTACTAATAGTTAAAATCTGGCAGGTTGGAGAATCCTTAACCCCGGTCCTCAAAGTAGTGTCAGTTCACATTTTCTAAAGCACGCATCTAACGCAATTTGAGTGCGGGGTGATTTCACTCTTTATTCCTTTCTATTTAGAGAGAGAAGCTGAAGTCTCTTTTGGCAAACAAAGAAAAGCAACATGAAGAAAGCTTACGAACCGTCGAGGCTCTGAAAGCGAGACTGAAATATTTCGAGGTATAAAAGGCGTGAGTTATTTCCTGTCATTCATAATGGGTGTTGTACGGGATTCGGTGCTACGTGCGGATTTGAGTTACTCGTCCGTTCTTTACTGTGCACCCCTGGGCAGTTCGTCTGAAGCCCTCGAGTGTGCTGCCTCTGATAGAACCGGGATGACCGTCCCTTCCTTCAGGAGCTGTACAGGTTCCGGGAGGTGGTTTCAGTTGACCGGCGGGTAGCTGACATTGGGTTCTGCTCCAGTTTCTTTTCCCCAGTCGTCCTCACCGTCCGTCCCTACCTTTTCGAAACCTGATGTTTTACCTGTGAGCTGGTAATGGCCATGCTGGTAATTAGTGCGGAAGTGTCATGTAAGCAAGTGCTGGGAGTCCAGACCATGCCAGGGAGGGCTGTGTGAGTACAGACGAATCCGACACTGTACGGTGAGACGGGTCGTGGACAAGGCTCACGTCGTGTGTCCTCTCGGGTGGGTCAGCTGTCAGTAGTTTTCCTAAGGCCACACATTTGAAAACTCTTTATTGAAAAGTGATAGACATTAAAAAGTACATGTATGGGAACCAGCAGTTAGCGTAACGGCTATGTCGCTGGACTCCCACATAGTTGACCACGGTTCATGTCCCGGACCTCGTGGCTTAAACTCACACCGGTCGCGTGTGCGTGCGTGCCCAAGATCCCGAGAGGAGAATGGAGGAGAAGGGATTGCGGCGTGACCATCCCCCCTGGGGGGTGATTTCTCACTTTCTGTCTCTCTGTCTCTGTCTGGCGAGCACACGCGCCCTATAGCAAAAACCTCTCCCAAAAAAAAAAAAAAAAGTCCAGTGTTAAAGCGCCTCAGCTGGTGAATGTTCACAACTTGCACGTACTCTGGACGACCGCGCCCACACTTGCTCCCTGCCCCTACCGAGGATACCTTCTCCCGAGTTCTGTCTGCATAGATTCCTTCTGCAAGGTCATCACATGTATTTTATAAATGTCATTCATCTCTTGGGGTCACTGAAGACGGCGGATGATCCTTACTGGGGAGTAAACACCAACATACGTTTTAGAAGCGTCTCAGTCCTTTATATGTTGCTGTAACAAATACCCAAGGCTGGGCAGTTTGTGCAGGCTGGAAATCGAGTTCTCAGTCCCGGAGGCTGGGATGTCTCAGATCACTAGATTCAGTGCCTGCTGGGGACCTGTTGCTACATCCTGGCATGGCAGATGGATGAACCCCACGTCCTCCCGTGGTAGGAGGCGAAAAGGATTCAATCTAGGTACTCTAGTCTTTTTGTAAGGTACTGATCCGTTCATGAGGGAAGAGCTCCCATGGGGGAGAAAGGAGAAAGGATTGTCTCACTTCCCTTTTCACTGTTTCTCTGTCTCTCTCCAGGGAGCACATGCACTTTGTGGCAAAAACAAACAAACAAAAAAAACAAATAAACACCTCCCAAAGAAACCCCCAAAACAGAACAAAACAAAAACCCTTAAAAAAAAAAAGACTAAGATAGTTTTCTGTAGCTATAGGCAGAGTTCTATCTTTTGTCAAGTCTGTGACTTTTAATGAGGTCTACAGAAAAGTAGCTTATTTCTAGTCATAAAACAGTACATACTTCTTATAAATTTTACAAAATATAGTTGAACTGAAAGCAGAAGATAGATATCCAGCAGATAGTGTGGTAGTTAGGCGCTGGACTCCCACACGGCTGGTCGCAGTTCAAGTCCTGGACCTGGTGACTTGCTTTTTCACTCTCTCTCTCTGTCTCTGTCTCTCTTTGTCTCTGTCTCTGGTGAGCACATGTGCCCTGTAGCAAATTAAAAAATAATAATAATGATAAATAAAATAAGTAAGAAAAAAGCGGAAGATAGACATCTATACCCCTAAAGCTGTCAGCCGCTCACTGACCTGTGCTCAGACCTCTGTGCAGTTCGTGTGCTCCGTTCTCACTGCACAGGTGGGGCCGTACTGCTGTGTGTAACCTCCATGCAGCATCGTGGGGAGGTCTCAGCTGCTCACTGACGCGTGCTCAGACCTCTGTGCAGTTCGTGTGCTCCGTTCTCACTGCACAGGTGGGGCCATACTGCTGTGTGTAACCTCCATGCAGTGTCATGGGGAGGTCTCAGCCGCTCACTGATGCGTGCTCAGACCTCTGTGCAGTTCGTGTGCTCTGTTCTCACTGCACAGGTGGGGCCGTACTGCTGTGTGTAATCTCCATGCAGCGTCGTGGGGAGGTCTCAGCCGCTCACTGACGCATGCTCAGACCTCTGTGCAGTTCGTGTGCTCCGTTCTCACTGCACAGGTGGGGCCATACTGCTGTGTGTAACCTCCATGCAGTGTCATGGGGAGGTCTCAGCCGCTCACTGATGCGTGCTCAGACCTCTGTGCAGTTCGTGTGCTCTGTTCTCACTGCACAGGTGGGGCCGTACTGCTGTGTGTAATCTCCATGCAGTGTCATGGGGGGGTTTCCCCCAAAGGTACATTCCTTTCAAACAGAGAATGACGGGACCCCTTTTGGACCCAGCATTTATGAAAGTGGTCTTTAAGACGCCATCATTTACAAACATCCATGAACTCTAAGTTCCCCGCAGAATTACTCTATTAGGAGTTACATGTACTATCTCTCTTATCTTTACTGAACAAATACGGAGAAATACGGGTGTTTTAGAACGAGGCGAATTTTGTACTCTTGTAAGTGAGCACAGTTGTGACCACACCCACAGTGGCTAGCAGAGACAGCAGCGAAGGCCTGGATGTGGGATCGCAGAGGTCTTTACTCAAAGCCAGAGTGCCAGCTGCAGAGATGGAAGGCAGAGGCCCCTGCTCTGTCTCCTGCAGGCGGGGGCAGGTTTGTGTTTGTGGGTCTCTTAGTGGGGGTGGGGACCTTCTGACTGGCCTTTGGGCACGGGGAGGTGTATCCCGGGTGGGCTGCTGAGAAGGCCCTGTGCGCCTCGCGTACAGCGCATGTTGGAAAAGGCGACCCTAGTGCCATGGATGTGGCGCACGTCACCGGGTACTGGAGGCTCTGGGAGTGCGCCGTGCAGGCTGGAAGATGCTGTCGTGAATTTCCCCATCCTGGCCCGTTCCCGCAGGCTCCCAGCAGCCTTCTGAGATGAGCAGGCCCAGCCCCAGTGAGCAAGTTTGCTGTAAGCGGACGCTGTCAGTTTGCCCGCTTACGTAATCAAAGGCAAATAAAGCCAAAAGAAGTGTCTGAACTCCTGCTTGCAAAGGCCTCTCTCCACCCAGATGTGTGCATAAGCCCTTTAGTAGTTATTTCAGACTCTGGGGTTAAATGTTTCATAGAACAAAGCTTAACTAAGCTTGCAGATGTTTTTCCACATTGGGGCACTGGGGATGAGCAGAGATGCCGTTAATTCGTTGATGGAACAGTGGACAATTTTTATCATGGTTCCCAGCTCAGAGTGCATCCTCAGCTGGTCGTACTGGCACAGCAACCATGAACGTATCTGCGTGTCTTTATTCCTGAGTATAGTGCTTCCATTTATAAATTAGAATCTGCATTTGGCTTACTTGGGAAAAGGAGCAATCCAAGTATTTACATATTTCTTTGTTTTGTTTTGGAAATATTTGCCATAGGAACTTGCCAGAAACAGAGAGAAGGAAAGTGAGAGTCACGCCCCGGGGGGTTGGCCATGCCTCAGTTCCTTCTCCTCTGGGATTTTGGGCACGTATGAATACGCCTGGCACACACACACACACCAGGGATGCTGTTCAAGCGTACTGAGTCTAGTACTCAGACTATGGAGCTGGCCATGCGGGATCCAGTGCCTTCACCACCACGCCACCTGCTGGCCGGTCCCAGGGCTGTCTCAGTTCAGAGGGCCGGAAGTGTCTCTGCGCTTTCCCCTAATGCATCATGGGCGTGCTGCTATGTGGAGAGCTTTGCTCCCGCTTCATGTCCTGCTCTGTCCTTTTGCCTTCAGAAGCAGTCTGTATCCTGTAAGTTCTGAAAGGAGTTGCACCGCTGTGTCATAGACGGCGAGACAGGGCTCCCACTCCCAGCGCCGGGGAAGTAAAATGAGTCATTCATGTGAGCATGGCGCTCCCTGTTGAGGGAAAGAAGCGCAAACGTTGTGTTAAAAGTTCTGTCCATTCATTTGGGCTCACTTTTTTTTCTTTTTCTTTTTTTTGAGCAGCGGTTTTTTCCTTGAAACACGCGGCTGCTTTTACTAAAATGCTTGGTGAGGTGGTTTATTTCCATTGATCTGATTATTGCTAGTATTAGGTCTTTTTGTTGGGTTTGAATGGAATAATACTCAGGAGAAGCAAGGAAAGTAAAAAATGTGGTTTTAATGACGTTTCTTATCATTAATAGCTAATCGTTTAGAGCTAACATGGATACAGAATTTAGGAAAATGAAGCCGCATTTACCTAAAATGTTTTAATTTATGCTTCTAATTCCAGGGTGATCATTTAGGATCAGGAAGTCACTTCAGTAACCGTAAGTGTAAAGTGTGGGTTTTCATTACTGTTCATTCAGGCCAAGCAGAGAACAGCTGTGCCCGTTGGCTGGCTGGCTGCCCCGGGACGCTCCTGCTGCCCCGCTCCCCCAGCTCCTCGTGCGTTCTGTTCAGCAGACGGAGCTGGGAAGAGGCAGCGTTTTGACTAGTGTAGCCACTAACATGGAATCTGATGACCCACGAGGTCCTCCATCCCTTAGCCACCTGTATTTTTGAACCGTATATTGTACGAATTACCCAGTTTACATTATTAGTAGACATTTGTCTTGTGATATTTGGGGCTTGGTTTTATGGAAAGAAACATAATTTTCTGATTTGGAGAAATCAGTCTCAGTGTGGTGAACATCTTAAAATGACAAGTTCCAGGACCAGCAGTTAGCGTGATGGCTATGTCGCTGAACTCCCGTGTAGCTGACCGCAGTTTGAGTCCCAGACCCAGTGACTTAAACTCATGCTGGGCACACTTGCGTGCATGCCCAAGATCCCGAGAGGAGAATGGAGGAGAAGGGATTGCGGCATGGCCATCCCCCCCAGGGAGTGATTTTTCGCTTTCTGTCTGTCTCTCTCTGTCATTCTGGTGAGCTCACGCACCCTATAGCAAAAACCTCTCCCCCTAAAAATAGACAAGTTCCGTGGACACTAATTTATTGATTATTTTAAGACCATAGGTAACTACCACTTTTGCTTATTCTCCAATCGTAAACAATTTCTCAAGAAAAATCTTTTTTTTCCCCTTCCCAGTGAGTATTATTAACCTACCCTCTTGCAGAGTTTAGCAGGAATATTTAATCCTATACATTTCAAAGAATACCATTTTTTATTTTGTCTGTAAAATACATATTTTATAATAACCATGTAGCTGTTTAGTCTGGCAGTCTTAGGTATTTCTGTCTATTGTTCAGAAGGCTGTAGTTATTTCCCCATGTTTATAGAAATAATAAGAAAAAATGCATACTTTAGAGTGAGGATAATTGCACCTGCTGCTTCTTTATTGTTTGAATAATAAAGGAGAAAAAAATAAATGCTTGGCCTACTTTGATACGGATATGTAAGTTAAAATTGTTTTTTGGACTTATTTAGGAAAAGAAGACATGCTTCTTAAACAAGGTCAGATGTATGTGACAGACTCACAGGTAATCCTTTTTAAATTTAAGGAAATATGTAAAGAAATATTTGTACCCTTATAAAAAGAGGAAGACAGCATGTCTATTTATGAAGTATATGTACTTTGAGTAGGGTTTCCGTAAGCAGAGAAAAATGGATCTTGCTTTGAGCTTAATAGCAGCAGATATTTTTGTTTCTGGTGCCCCCTAGAGTCTCTCTGAGGTAGTGGCTTCAATTAGAGGCAGGAGTTACGATGTCCCTGTCTTTGATCAGGAGCTGGAGCTGCTGTTCATTAGCCATGATCAGTTAACTCTTCACAGTCTCCCATGTAAAGGGGAAGACAGGTGTGAGTCATTCAAAAGTAATTCGTTTTGACTTTCAAATGTATTTTTCCTGGCCATTCAAAATATACATGTTTTCTGTTTGGGTAATTCACCTCAACAGAAAGCAAGTTTCGGGGCCAGCAGGTGGTGTGGTGGGTAAGGTGTTGGACTCACACATGGCCGATTGTGGTTCAATTCCTGGACCTGGTGCCTTGAAAATTACACTGGGCATGTGTACATGTGTACCTAAAATCCCAAGAAGAGAATAGATTGTGGTGTGGGCATCAACCCTCGGGGGTGATTTCTCACTTTCCCTCTCACTTTCTCTGTCTCAACAAGCATGCGTGCCCTATGGCAAAAACCAACCAGTCAGCCACGCAATCCATCAGTCCCAGTCTCCAGGAATTAGAGCGGTGTCCGCTTTCCCTGGTTCGCGGGCCTTCACCTTTATTTCAGAGCCACATGGGGCTGGGGAATTATTCCATGCTGCCAGTTTTCTTGCTCCTGATCCAGGGGAATGCAGCTTAGATGTATCTGAATAACAGTAGCAGCTGCCTATGGAGTGGGACATACTCTAGCACATGGCTTTTTCAGTGAATTGGTACTTGTGAAGAGAGATTGTAGTAAGCTGTATGAGAGGAGTAAAAATAGCTAAATTTGTCTTTCACGATTCTATGTTCAGGTATTTGTGAACTATTTACTGAGAAGTTTAATTACACTTCTTTTTGGTTAGCACTTAATAGAAGAAACAAGAAAGCAGTCAAATTAAGATTGTGTGCTAAATTGTACTTTATCTTCCTGTTGTCAAGAAACACTTGTCAAAATTATTATTATTGTTTAATCAATTGACTCGCATTCTCTTGACAACACTCATGTTAGCTGGGTTTATTTTGGTGGTAATTTTATAACATCAAGAACATTCCAGTAGTCCATCCTTGACGTAGTTTCCCTTTCAGTGGTTCTAGTTACCCATGGCCACCCAAGGGCTGAAAATACGTGAGTACAGTACAGGAAGGTCTTTTGAGAGAGAAACAGACCACGTGCACACACTTTTCATGGAAGAACTTATTATAATTGTTCAGTTTTGTTATTAGTTATTGTCAATATTTTAAAAAGATTTTTAAAAATTATTTAATTTTATTCTTCTTCTTATTATTTAATTTGCTATTGAGCACATATGCTCACGAGAGAGAGGGAAAGTGCGAAAGCAAGCCACCAGGTCTGGGACTCGAACCTCAGTTGGCCATGTGGGAGTCGAGCACCTCAACCATGATGCCACCTGCTGGCCCCTTTTTAAGATCTGTTTTTTCCCCATAGGGTATGTATGCTAGCTGGAGAGAGAGACAGAGATCCGACAGAGAGAGGGAGAGTGAGAAATCACCTCCCAGGAGGGATGGCCATGCTGCAGTTCCTTCTCCTCCATTCTCCTGGGATTATGGGCACACGTACACATGCGCCCAGTGTGATTTTTCAAGCCACCAGGTCCAGGTATCAGATTGCGGCCAGCCATGTGGGACTCGTGCGCCTTAGCCACCACTCCAGATGCTGGCGTCTGTCGCTGACCTCTTAGCCACGTTTACTTTATAAGCTGTGTGGATCCCAGCGTGGTGGTGCAGGGGTAGGGTGCCATTGGTGCTACACTGCAGTCACGTGCTAAACCCAGTTTGCATCACAGATGGGCCCAAATACACTGGGTGGGACCGTGCACACCTGCATAGCTAGTGGCCTGGAGGCGGGGGAGGATTGCATTGTAGAATCTCTCTGTCAAGAATACCTGTCTGTCTGTCTGTTTCCATCTTTCTAGCTCATGAAAGAAATAAAATTAATTTTACAGACTAGCCTGTAGCACAGATATGTACACCTAGGGTTTGGTATTACCAAAATGTGGTTTCTGGCATCTTCCGGGGGCCTTGGGGTGTACCCTCCGTGGGAAAGGGGGATTCTGTATGTTGGAGTGAGCAGTGAGAGCTCTCAGAAGTCACCCACCTTCTTAGAAGTTAGATACTGTGTAATGCCCTCAAGTTATTCGCGTTTTTAAAATGTCGATACTTGTTTTAATTTGAAGGTTCTGATGACTTTGTTTAGAACTTGAAGTTCTAGGGCCAACAGATGACGTCGTGGTTATGTCACCGGACTCCCACGTGGCCAACTGCAATTTGAGTGCTTGACCCTGTGGCTTGAAAATCACGCTGGGAGCGTGTGCGTGCTCCCAGGATCTTGGGAGGAGGATGGCAGAGAAGGGATTGCAGCATGGCCATCCCCCCTGAGGGGTGATTTCTCCCTCTCCTTCTCACTGTCTCTGTCTGTCTCTCTCCCTGGAGAGCGCATTTGCCCTATGGTAAAAACCTTTAAAAAAAAAAAAGGAAAAAATACTGACCTTGAAGTTCTGAGCACACTAGGTGCCATGGACTACGGAAGTGGGAAATGTGGCTCGATGAAGCTGACCCTTAGTGTGGGCCGGTGTTAGGAACGGGGCAGGGAGAGGAGACGGCACCCGGAGGCTCTGCCTTTTCTCCTTTTTGTTCTGCGAGAAATGGACTCACGTGAACAGAACTCCACGTCCTGAGCTTGCCAAGGACATGGTGGCCAGAACACGTCTTACCCCAAAGTCGGTGCCACGTCCCTTTAACCTGGGACACCTGACGATGGGGAGCGTCTCTGAATGTGTGGAAAGTGTCTCCCTGTGGCCCTGTGACTTAACGTCCTCTTTTCCTTTCAGTGCACGTCCCCCGGCTTGCCGGCCCATCTGCAGAGCAGGTCTGTGGTGAGACCCCTGGAGCTGTCTGCCCCCGCTCACTCCACCTACGCTGAAAGCGAAGTGTTAAAGAAGGAGTTAGAAGCCATGCGGACTTTCTGCGAGTCCGCCAAACAAGACCGCCTGCGGCTGCAGAACGAGCTGGCCCACAAGGTGGCCGAGTGCAAAGCCCTGGCCTTGGAGTGCGAGAGGGTCAAGGAGGACTCGGACGACCAGATCAGGCAGCTGGAGGACGCGCTCAAAGACGTGCAGAAGAGGATGTACGAGTCCGAGGGGAAGGTGAAGCAGATGCAGGCCCACTTCCTCGCGCTCAAGGAGCACCTGACGAGCGAGGCCGCCGGGGGTCACAGAGTGGCGG